GAGATTGAACAAGGTAGAAAATACATGAATGGTGGGTGTAAGCTGCACATTATCAGTAAATTGTATTTTTTCTCTCTTCTCTTTAGTTCTATGGTGCCCCAGAACCCTATGAAGACATGCTGAAATGCCTCAATATTGTGTTTACATCCATGTTTTCACTGGAATGTGTGTTGAAGATTATCGCCTTTGGCGCACTGGTATGGGCTGCTTTGTTCCACTGTCTTCTATGTCTTTGTTGTTGTTGTGTGCACCTTCAAGTCATTTCTGACTTTTGGTGACCCCTAAGGCAAACCTACCATGGGGTTTTCTGGGGCTGAGTATGTGACTTACTCAAGATCACCCAATGGGTTTCCATGGGCAAGCAGGGAACTGAACCCTGGCCTCCAGAGTTTTATTCCTTCTCTACTTGGTTTCCCAATCTTTCACCTTGCCAACCATCACCCAGCATTTCCTAACCACTGAGCATACTCAGTCCTCACTTGGCTGTTTAGGGTATCCCTTCCCTGATAATTTTTCGGTACTTGTGCAAAACCTTGGGCTCCCCAAGCCTTTAACAACAACAACAGCAACAATGGGAGAAATGAGCCATGAAATCTGAATTTCAAGGGAAATTTCAGGGAAATTTTTGAGGGCTGCATTCCAAATGCTGAGTGAATGGGCTCAAAGGCAAATGGATGGTACCCCAAATATCATCATATTCTATCCTAATGCTCTCTTTCTGCTGGGAACTAAGCTTTAGAGGAGACATTCCAACCTCTTCGAATGAGGAGATGAACATTTAAGTCCCTTTGAAAGGTTCCTGATGTTGTTTTTCTCTTACAGAATTATTTCCGTGATGCCTGGAACATCTTTGATTTTGTAACAGTCTTGGGAAGTATTACTGATATTTTAGTAACAGAGATTGCGGTGAGTACAGACAGGGCAAGTCTGATTTCTTTGCAAGCAAAAGCAAAATACTGTCTGCACCTCAGGCCCCCCCATTACGCTGACCTATCTTCCCACCCACTCCCCCCAAAAATCATTATTGCTTGATGTACTTCTCTGGGAAATACTAGGATGAACTTAAACTGCAAAGCATCACTAGGGGTATAATTTGAGGATATATATTAGGAGGAAGTTTATTATTAAGGGCTGTTGGATAAGCTGGTTAAGAGAAACAATTCTACCATAGTGTCCATGAGGATATTACACAAAAAAATAGGCTTTAATTAGAGTAAGGAATAGGAGAAGGCCATAGGAGTGCGTGTCTTCTGCATGTCCTCCTATGGGTTTCTCATCCTTTGTACATATTTCCCCACTCTTTTTTAAACAATGTCACATTCCAAAATTGGGTTTGGAGTATTTTTGATTTAGTGTTAATCCTGGTTAATGTGAGCTTTCTCATGTACAAATTACCCCTTTCTCCTTTAACAAGATTAGGTATTATGTTCCAAGTCTGGCTTTGTAGTATGGATTTGGGATAATCACAGTTGATGCCAACATTTCCCTTTCCAATGCACAAATTCACCCACCTTTCTTTACCATGGTTAAATGTTATGCTAACCAACTAATTTTGACATTCCCATGAATTTATATTAGCCATGATTGATACTAACCCTTCCTCTCATGTGCAGTAAATCTTCCTTTAGCATGGTAAACCTTCCTTTACCATGGTTTAAAGTTATGCCCACAAACTGAGTTTGATGTTCCCCTAGGTTTATGTTAATCATGGTTGATGCCAATCTTTTCCTTCCCATGCACAGATTCTCCCATTTCCCTTTACCATGGTCAGATGTTATGCCAACATACTGAGTTTAATGTTCCCCTGAGTTTGTTTTTAAACATGGTTGATACCAATCTCTCAAATTCTCTTGTTTTCCTTTATGATAGCTAGATATTATGGCTCAAAGGTGGGTTTGTACCAGACCTGGGAATGTTAATTTTTGTTAATGTTAATTAATAATGGCTATTAATGTCTGTTCTATATTGTCACTTGTGAGCTCTCAAGGCCTGCCAAAATGGCCAAAGGGACTCTACACAACTCACAAAGAAGCCTATTGCCCACCCTTGGTCTATGAAGCAGGGCAGCTTTTTATATCTCCCTCCTCTCCAACTGTGTTATTGCTAACTGACTATGTGCATCTCTTTGTGGCTCTCCCTGCCTTGTCAAGGAGATACTTCATTTTTGTTGCTCTTTTCTAATGCTCTTTCTCCTGTCTATGATAACACATTTTGAGCAGTTCCCACATCCCCTGATCCTTGTTCTAAACCACACAGGGAATCAGAGGACTAACCTGAGCAACCTGAGACAATAAGGTGGAGCATGGGTGTTCACACTAGGGTATTGTTGGTTTCAGAACTGATTGATTGGTTGGTTGATTGATTCATTGATTTGGGAAGGGAATGGTGTCAGATAATTTATCCTCAATAGCTTCCCTCAATCTACAAGAGAAGAGATGGGATATGCAAACTGAGACATTTCACACACTATCTTGCATTTCTTGAGAGATCCATGCATGTTAGAAAGCATAATGAGCCCATCCTTGCTGTTACATTGCCATGCATGGAGCTCCCAAGAAATGCAAGGCAGTGTGTGGAAAGCCTTGGTCATTGTGAAAAGTCATTGGCAGTTGTTGGCTTCCATATCAGTGGGGTGGTTCAATGGGATGGTGGTTCACTCTGGGTCCTAGTCTGAACTAACCAGCATTACACAAGGTGCTGGACCTATTTTGGGATAGGGTCTGACATCTTGAATAGTTTCTCTAAAGTTAGGCCTACACCACAGAAAATATTGACCATCCCACCAGCATGGGGGTCACCAAAAATGGCTGTCAGGCCTTGTACCAGTCTTAAGAGTTTTCTGGAGCTGGCCATCTGTGTAAAGTCTATGCTTTGCTTGAATAATGAAATGCATAACTGTTGGATGGGATTTTCAAATACCCTCCAGCAAGATTTTTCTCCCCAGAAGGAAATTATTATATGATGAATTGGTTCATTCACTCATGGAGTCATGGACTATATCAATGATTTGTGATTAAAACGTGGTGTTTTTTATTACATTGTTAATGTACCATTGGCCCTTTGTGTAATGAATCTATAAGCAAGGAAAAATACTGCTGCATTGAATGTGCATCTCTTCCTACTTCACCATCTACTTCACCAGCTTTCTCCTGGGTACTCTATCTTTACTACACAACTCTGTGATATGGAATTGTGTGAACTTTCTTAGAGAGATGTCAGCCATCATTGAGTAGTAAATTTGGGGGAGATTGGCAGACTTCAGGACAATGGAGCTGGTTCATCTTTTTGGTATGGATATTCCAGAGTTTATGTCTCCTGCCCTCAATCCCAGGAATTCTTCTTGAACCAAAGAGATTAGCTCTCTAGACTGCTGGCTGCCTTATCACAAGTTGCTCAGCAGCCAAAAAGGCCAACAAAAAATAAAGATTAAAGGGGGAAAATGTGTTAATAATTTGGCTTGTGTTTTTATTTCATAGTCGTGTTGTACGTAATTTCCTTTGTAACTGCTTTGAATACTTATCTTCCTCTTTTTTTTATTTCTCTAGGCAAAAATATGTATGTCAGTTTTCTTTCTCACTTGATGCTGCTTTGCAGAACAGATTTTTCAAAGTGGACTTTTTAGAAAGAGTTGCAAAGAGATTAACCAGTTCATTAATCAATTAAATTTCTAGCTGGTTCCTTGGCAACATTAAATCTGAATTGACAGAAGCAACCTTTAATCTTTGCAGGCTTTGTTCTAGTATGTTAGTGTTAAAAAGAATGGGAAAATATATTCAAGACGAGTGGTCCTCCCCCCTTACAATTAGCAGTAGCTTTGCATTATTAACCTGTCAGTTGTCTCTTATGTTCTTCTGTGTCCTCAAAGAAACACCAGAGGCAAGGTTTTAGTGGCAGACGTGTTCATTTAAGGTGTATTGAGTCATTAAATTGATTAATCAATGGCAAGTCGATGATAAATTGACCAAAAATAAAATAAAATTCTGAAACTGGCATCTCTGCTTTTGCCTGGGAATAAAAAAAAAAAGGATATATTGACAAAAAAAGTGTTTGTGAAGTGTCTCTTAATTTGCATTGCAATACGAAATGCAAATACTTGATTGTACTGTGTTTCCTTCCAGGTTTGCTCATTGTTAGGGGAAAAAAGTCACTGTTTGATAAGCATCTAATTTTTGCCCCTATACGATTTTTACTGCTTCTGGTCTTTGCTTGTCCTGATGACTCATTTTCTCTTTTTTTGTTGTTTTCTGTTTGTCTTTTGTTTATTTCCCTCCCCTTCCCTTCCTGCTGAATCACGCCATCCAATCAACATACAATGCGAACAAAATACATATATCCATGTCTCCGTCTGTATGTTGCGTACCTGCTGGTCCAAACCAATGCCAAATCCAAAATTGTCTAAACTCAAAAACTTATTTTACAAATATTCATCCATGAAAACATCACATATAGGACACGGTTGGTTTCATTGAATTTTTCCCCCTCAAATATATATCTCTATCTATATATTTCAATTTCTTGCTTTTTGTTGTTATTATTATTATCATTATTATTTTTCTCTTGACTCGTTTTGCTTCACTTCTCTTTGAACCTTGTTTGAGATTTCTGACTGCACCAAGTGGGGAAAAATCAAAAAGCTTCCCTGTCTGTCTTTCTGCACTGTGGCTCATGACCGGATTTGCTTGTCCCCTCGTCTTTCGGTTGGCTACTTGGTAATTGGAAGCCAAACCACTGTTACCAGTAGTCGCCTTTACTCTTGTCTCTCTATGATGACCGAGAGGGGAAACTCACATCTGCATTCTGGAATTAGCAAATAAAGAGATATTCATGGAAGCTGAGTGTTTGCAGCTAAGTGATGGCTAGCTTGTTGTTTGTCTTCAAGTCATTTCTGATGGCAACACTAAGGTTAACCTATCCCAGGATTTTCTTGGCAAGTTTCTTCAGAGAGGGGTTGCTATTGTCATCCTCAGAAGCTGGTCCAAGGTCACCCAGTGGGTTTAACATGGCTGAGCTGTCATTTGAACCCAGGTCTCCAGAATCATAGTCCAGTTTCAAACCACTACACCACACTGGCAGCATCCATGTTAATGGGGTAGTGGGTCTGGCTTTGAGTTTGAAGTTTAGAGAGGTGAGCCTGTTTTGGAGATAGAGTACCACACCTTGACTACAACCAAGAGAGAACAGAAAGAGCGCATGCCAAGCACATTGTTTAATTTCATTTTTAAGGAGTATTGCTTTAATTTGATTTTATGTTTTTGAAGAGCAAAGCCAAACAAATAAAACAACAACTGAGCCACAACATCTGGAAATAAACATGATTCTGAATATAATTGGGTATAAGAAATGCAGATGTGTTGAGTCACCCCTCTCAGTGCATACCGTCCAACTTCCTGGGCCCATTGGCTGGGAGATGGGTGGGTATTGTCCATATATTGATTTGTGTTGGCTGTTTCTGTTGCTTGTGCATAGCCATGCGGAGGATAGCCCTCCAGGACTTTTCTAAATATTGTTGAACTTTAATTTTCCAGGGCTACTTTTTATTTTTAGCTTTCAATGCAGTCTGGATGCAGACAACATTTGGTGGAAAGGAGTGGTATATGTAGTAGTATGTCTAGTGATGGTTGAAGGTGCTACTATTTGTGGAACAAACAGATCCCTACACAAAGTTATGTGGCTTAAATTACTTCCTTTATGGTTGTGCTAACAATGTCACAAGTAGAGAAAAGTCTTAGCAGGTGGATGATCTCTTCCTCCTGTGCCATTTCCTACCGCTGTTTCCCTTCTTTTTGTTCTTCTTCTCTTGATCTTCTTTCTACTTCTCTTTCTTCCTCCTCCTCTACACACATCATATTTTAAGGTCCTGAATTGCATATAGGATCTGTTTCTATTTGGTCATGAAGAATTTTGATCATTCATGTGGTGCTAAGACTTTTCTCAACTGTCCTTTCTGGTTCAGGTGACTTTAGGTCCAAATGTCTAGCTCCAGCATCAAAACATTTGTGTAGAATGGTCTTTTTCAGCCAAGAGATATCTAGGCACCAATCCATCTATCTGATGATAATTTAGGCAACTGGTAAACCCATTCATAGAAAGTGGGTTTACTGTGACATAAATGTGGAAGTGGAATCCAACCCAGAGTATATATTCCTTTCCTTTCCCAAATGTTGTCTTTAAATGCAAATCAATTTAATTCATTTAACTATTTGAAAACAGATAAAGAAAGGCTATATTTCAGAGGAAGGAACTGGCAAAAGCACATCTGAATCTTCCTTGCCTAAGAAAATCCTATGAAATTCATGGGGTCATCATAAGTCCACACGAGACTTGAAGGCACACACACAGAAAGAAAGGAATATATGTTTTCTGAAAATGCAATTTTACTGCTATTTGGATGTTCTCTGCCACCTTGTAACTCTGTAATAGGGGCAGGCAACTTGTAACCTTCCAGATGTCGAACTGCAGCTCCCACCATCCTTTAACATCATCTATACTGCTAACTAGGGCTAATGGGAGGTGCCATCCAACAATGCCTGGATGGCCTCAACTCTGCTGTGTAAGAAAGGTGGATATAATCATCTTCTACAAGAAGATGCTTGGAGCTCTGACTTCTTAACTCATCCCCCTAAGTAGCCCTGGAAAATTTATGTTTGCCTCTTTGCATCTTGCTGTGAACCTGTTTGGTGTTGTCTTCTTGTTTGGTGGACCTCATTTTGCTTTTCTCTTTATGTGAAGATTCAGTCTAAGGAGGTATGGGGTGGATATCCAAATCTTGAGAGCTGCTTGCCTCTTCATTTTTCTTTTTCAAAAAAAGGAAAAGCCAGGCAAGCCACATGCATGTCAATGGTTAGTTTTCTTGAGTTTCGACAGTATTGGTGGAATGTCGCATCACTGGCACAATCTCTGCCTGGCTGGCATTTGAAATACATGGCTGGAAAAAGCCATGAGCCTCATGCATTCAAAATAGCGAGGCATGTGAGGGGCAGCTTTCCTCTTGGCAGGCATCTGTTAGTTTCTTTAAAAAGTTGCTGGGTGGGAGCAGGCAACACTTTGACTTGCTCAGCTTTGTCTCCAAGGCCTCTCTCTGAATATGATTTCCCCTCCCTCTGCTCTCGAGGAAACCCAAACTTTGAAATGGGGCTTTTGAGAAAGAAAATTCCCTCAAAAGAGGTTGTTGAGGTGTCTTGTTCAGGTGAATTGGCTTCCTAACAAGCCACAAGGTGGTTTGGTCAATAGATGGAGTGGGTGGGCTCCCTAACGCCATTAAATATATATACGTATATATTTGGATGACCTATTTTTTGATCAGGAAAAATAAAATACAGAACCATTCATGGAGGGTTGAGAGATGTAGGTGACCACCCAAAAAGGGTGAGAAAATGTCAGAGCTCAGCTCTAGCATAGCTTTGAAGAGTTAAAAAGCTATTTAAAAATCCATCCCATTTCTGTAGGTGCTCCCAGCTGGGGAGTTTTTTGTGAGATTGTCTTGGCCTTCTACATTTTGTCTTATATACCCCTTATTAGAAGTCTCCCTTTGATTTCCAAAGCCTCCATCCAGGCCTTGACTTAGGTTTTCTTCAGGCTTTCACCAAAGAGGACTTGATCTGGAGGGATCTCAGTATATGTGCTCTCATCTTGCTTCTCCCACTTGTGATCTTCCCAACCTGATGGGGAGGACTTTAAGGGGAATATAAGAGCACCAATCTCTTGGGTTTTATGGGGCCAGCTTTGCAGATTACAAACATAGCTATCAGCTTTGTCAAGATTTGCTTTTGAAAATGGAAACATTTTAGAACCACACAAAATGGAATGAATATACCTGTTCATAAAACTATAACTAAATAACTGTAACTATATAACAATATATTTCTGAAGAAGTAGTCGTGTTAGTCTCTTGTGGCATAAAAAGAAAGAAGGGATGGGGAGAAAGAAAGGAAAGTGGCTGCATGAGAGTTCAGCAATATTCAAGTCAGGTGGATATCCAGAGTCCACAAATACAGTCCAGATCAAAGAGTTCAGGAACACAACAGGGTGCCAGGTAGGTCAGATAACCTTCAACAACTCCTGGAGGGCAGGGCTGCGAATTTATAGACCAGCAGCTCAATGCAGCTGCTGCTTTATTAATGGCTGCTTCCCCTGAGACCTCCTCAAGCCCTTCCTTTGTTGTCATCACTTGGAAAGGTAGGTAGGTAGGCGTAAGTTGTCTTCTGCATTTGACTGGGCAGGGCTCTCTGCCAGAGTTGGTACTGCTTTCTGGTTTGTATCTGAGATGTATGGCTCTGGAATCTCCTCCTGATCTGGTTCAGTGGCAGGTCCCACCATGTCCTCAACTTCAGTCTCTGAGTCAGAGTCCATATCCATATCCTGGAAGCAGGGCATGACAGATGGTGTCTTCTCATACTACTCCATGAGATCAGAATTCCTTATAAATCAGTGTCTCCTGTCACGTAGATCTCTACAACCATCACATTGAACCTAATGTAGTTACCCAACACCCCACAGAAGACATGGAGAATTTGGGACTGGAAACGTTCTGCCTGAGAAACACTTCCCCAACTCCCCCTTTTCCCATACTTGCAAAAAAAAACCCTCTTTGGTGAAGGCCTGTAGAAGGCTTTCCTCTTGCCCTCAAATTAAGGTGTTTGGAGGCAATCACCTGACCCTGCCTTTATCACGGAAGGGGCTCATGGTTGACCTGTCTTGCCATTGTTTACAACTCAATCTGGGCAGGTTTTAGAACTTTTAAAAGTCATAGTGCACCCTTGGTAATTGTTCAACTTTCCTTAATGCATAGGGTGGGGGAAAAACAGGAATCCATTGGAGGGCTCTTTCTCAATCTCTGTCTCTCCCCTTCCACCTTTCTCTCTCCAAACCCCCTTTTTGCAACCTTCCCCATAGCCGAGGGAGGGACTCTTATGGAGAGGGGTTTTCTCAAACGTGCTGCATGTGGAGAGTGACCTGCACTGACAAATGTTTCTTTTGGAAGGTTTTCTGGTGGCCGATTTGCTGCTTAGAACGCGAAGCCGGTAATTTTCTTTTCTTTTTTACGGGCTTCGGCTTCCGATCCCCTCCTTGTCTGAAGGACACAAAACCCTTTTCCTCTTCGCAGGACAATTTCATCAACCTCAGCTTCCTCCGACTCTTCCGGGCAGCGAGACTCATCAAACTTCTCCGCCAGGGCTACACCATCCGGATTTTGCTCTGGACTTTCGTCCAGTCTTTCAAGGTGAGGCAAAGACAGACCCAAAGAAATGGGGGCTGCATCCCAAACTCTTCCCATTGGAATCTCTTCTCGCCACATTGGGGAGTTCTGCATGGGCATGTGTGCAGCTGCACATCCATTATGCACAATAAACACACAATCATAGTTTTTCTCAAAGATTCTTGGGAACTGTAACTCTTATGAAGTATAGATCCAGTTCCCATGCTCTACTACTGGATAATCCTTGCCGCCTCCTCTGTGTAGCAAAATATTGACATAGCTGTAGTGGGTGCTATTGGTCAGTGCCCATGCCATCACCAGCACACTTCCCCGCCCCTCTTTCCAAAATCCAAGAGTCAGTTTTACCAATGCTGTGGGGAAAAAGGGAGGAATGCATATTTGTGGATTTTTGTCCAGCTATAACCATATCCAACTATAATCAACTATAAAACATCACCCTTGCAATGTGTTCCCTTTTCCTCTCTTGCAGGCCTTGCCGTATGTCTGTCTCCTCATTGCCATGCTCTTCTTCATTTACGCCATTATTGGCATGCAGGTAAATATGTGAGCTGCTGGTTGTCATTTCTGTGGGCCATTGAACCAACCACAGATTTTTTAATTTGAACTTTAGAGGAACTATAGTTCCTGGAAGCATGGAAGTTTGGAATAAAACCCAGAGTAGTTTCAGTGTCCCATGGAAGTCACCAGCCACCAGGGGAAAAAGAAGATGAAGTCTCAATTGGGTGCTTTGGTTCACTGTTTATGGACATGGAGGTCTATATAGAGATGAACAATAGTGGCTATTGACAGACCCCTTTCCTCTTTCTCTTCCCATTTCTCTTTCAAACATTTGTCTAACTTGCTTTTAAATCTAT